TTAGGAACACAGACTTGAAATCACCCAGAATTGTACTGGAACCCCCCTTTTTTTTTGAGTTGGTGACTCACTGTTACCCAGGCTGGAGTGCTGTGGCACACTCATGGCCACTACAGCCTCCACCTGCTGGGCTCAGGTGATCCTTCCACCTCAGCCTTCCAAGTAGCTGAAACCATAGGCACATGCCACCACACCTGGCTAATGTTTTGATTTATTGTAGAGATGAGGTCTTGCCAAGTTGCTCGAGATGGTCTCCATCCCCTGGGCTCAGGTAATCCTCTCATATCTGCTTCCCAAAGTGCTGGGATTATAGACGTGAGCCACCACGCCTGGCATTGGAACCCTTCTCATAGACTTTGTGACTATGAGGAGATTACAGTTTTCCATGAGCTGTGGTGTCCTCATCTATAAAATGAGGTCATAATTAGAGCTACTCCCAGGGAGAGAAAATTGTATAAGTGCTTAGTATGTACTTAGTGCTCAATAATATTGGCTATCTCTGTATGAGATGATGATACTGTCATTTAAGGAAAGATCAGACTAGGATTCATTTGTGGACATTTAAAGGAGGGAGATAGTCTAACCTTAGAATGGTTGTTTCTCCTTTTAGCCAAGTATAAGGTGTGGCTCAAGGAATGAGGAAGCATTTCCCAAGGCTGACAGGGCACAGAACACTTCTTCACAGTTTCTGGGGAAAGGATGGAGTGGCTAGCTGACCCTCCCAAATGACCAATGATCCTTGTCCCTCACCTCACCCTTACAGACAGAGTCCACTTGATTCTTTCCTGTCCCATCCTACTAGTCCAGTCACAGAGTCCTGGAACAGGAACAATAGTGATGATATTAATGATATAGTTACTTTGAAGCTTATGAAGACTTTCTAATGCATTATCCCAATTACTCTTAATATCTCTTTCCCGTTCAACCGAATCCAGAGTTAGGAGAGACCCTGAAGACCAGTCTGCATTTTACAGATGAGGACACTGAAATCCGAAGAAGGGAAAGCATTTACTCAAGGGGTGGAATTTACCCAAGATAACCCGATAAGTTTTTTTTTAATTAAACAATTGTTTTTAAATGACAAATTTTTATTTTATTATTATTATTATTATTTTTGAGTTGGAGTCTCACTCTGTCGCCCAGACTGGAATGCAGTGGCCGCTCCCGGCCACCGCAGCCTCGACCTGCTGGGCTCCGGCGATCCTTCCGCCTCAGCCTTCCAAGTAGCTAGAACTACAGGCACGCGCTACCACGCCCGGCTAATTTTTTGATTTATTGTAGAGATGAGGTCTTGCCAAGTTGCCCAGGCGCGTCTCGAACCCGTGGGCTCAGGCAATCCACTCACCTCAGCCTCCCAAGGCGTGGGATTACAGGCTAAGCCACCGAGCCCAGGTTTTTATTTTATTTTTAGGGACAAGGGCTCACTCTGTTTCCCAGGCTGGAGTGCAGTGCATGATCATAGCTTACTATAGCCTTGAACCTCAAGTGATCTTCTTGCCTCAGCCATAACTTAGCCAGCTAAGTTTTTTGTTTTTGTTTTTGGCAGAGTTGGAGCTCATTATGTTGCCCAGGCTGGCCTCAAACTCCTGACCTCAAGCCATCCTCCCCCCTCAACCTCCCAAAGTGCTGGGATTATGGGCATGAACCACCGTGCTCGGCCTCACAGGATAAGTTAATGGCAGAGGCAGGACCAGAACCTGCAGCTTCTGACTCCCAGCCTAGTAACGCCAGTTCTTCATCAAGTCATGCCTGTCTTTGACTTTGCATCCCCACCGCCTCCCAGTCTATTCTCTTATCTCCTGGACCACTGTAGTGGTTCCTAAGTCATTCCTAAAAGGGTCCTCCTTGCCTCTGCTCCCTTCCCATCAATTTATTCTACACATACAGCCTGATCTTGTCTTTCCCTTCCTAATGCAACATGCACATTTTTCTTTTCTTTTCTTTTCTTTTTTTTTTTTTT